TCTTTAAACCTCACAACAGCCTTTGATTGGTGAGTACAGTGGAAGCGTGTCGCTTGCGATTGGCCCTCCGTTATAATGGCCGACAGGCGGTGAAATTTCAAATTGCGGATCGAGGAATGGCTTCGTTAAGTGACGGAAAAATTCAAATCTGGTGACCCCTGGGAAAAGTGATTTCGGCCGAAAGCTCCAGCTGATACTTCTCGAAAATCCTCGGTTGATTTTACATAAAAGAAATTACAATATTAATATTTACGTCGAAATTACAATTTTTATCGATTTTGACCTCCGAGCTGTTGCGACCATCGAGACCACACCAAGAAGTTGTGTGACCAAATTTTACCACGTTACAATATATATATATATATATTTAGTATTCTGAAATGTAAAAAATAAATTTGAAAGATTTTATATGTATATATAAATTTTCATGAGACTTTACCAAAATTAGAAAGATGTACCAAAATTTTTATAGGTTATGTGTTCACACATTTCAGAAATAGTCAAGAATTTCAGAAATGGTCAGGAATTTCAGAAATGGTCACAGCTTCGAAAATGGTGGGAGTAAAGTGGGAGGAGCTTGGAAAGTATTTGGTTAGGAATGGTGAGAAACGTTCGAAAACGTCAGAAGTGGTGAGACTGTTCAGGAATGTTCAGAAATTCTGACCATTCATGACGATTCCTGATTTTATTTTTAGTAGGGACCGTTTTATAAAGAGGTACTTTACACACACTTTTCGAGTTGTAAAATTTAACTTTCGAGGTTAGTGTTGCAAAAAAAAAATTTTAATACTTGCCATAATGAATAATATACGGCTGCTATGTGTTTATTTGCTTCATATAGTGGCTCCTGTAAAAAGCCACTAATACCTCCCTTATAACGTTTTAAAAAAATTCCAATCGTCAAAATCCGATTCAAGCAAACGTTCGTATTTAATTTAAGGCCACCTAACACGAGTTTTTTGCAGCATTCCGAATTTTCTAAATTTAAAGCAGATCTTTCTTCATTACTTAATTGAATTAAGTAATCGTGCAAACCAACTAAAGATGCAATATTTTTTTCAAAATATTTTTCATTAAAACAAGACATTTTAAAAACTTTTTGAGGCACATGCCTTTTCCCTAATGAACCTGAAGAAGACTAGAGACCCTAGAGCATAGACATATAAGAATAGACTGCGCGAGTCAGCGTTGCCAGATCCTACAGGGAAAATTATGGAACTAACGAATCAAAATTATGGAATCATCCCTAAAATTATGGTACGCCTGCGTAAGAGTTGGTTCAAAGAAAAAAAGAGAGCAACTGAGAGAGAAAAAATGAGTAAAGGTGTATTCACAATGACAGTGAATTGAAACATGCGATTTTACTAATTTTACATACTTTTATTGAGATAATTGTTATAAATATTTTTTTATTTTACTATAAAAATTTGAATTTTAATTAATACTTTTTGTTATTTTGTAAATCACATTCGATTCATTTTAATAATATTTATAATATAATTTTGTCATTAGCCAACAGTGGAACAAAAAATGTCTTGAAAACTTGATTTTTTTACTTAACATAACCTTACTTTTTCGAGTTTTTTGTCTTTGAAGCCTCAATTAAATATTAATTATGTTTAAACTAATGTTTTTTTAGAAATGTGTTGAAAAGGAAATTGTCGAAAGGTATAGAAACTGATTTTATTTTGCAATGAGGAAATCAAAAGTTATTTAAAAAATATTGAAACCGTAGAGGGAATCCCTCCCTAGGTGTGTGACGGAGGGTTAAGATAATGCAATTCGACGTATAATAATTTAAAAAATAATGATACCTTTAACGTAGCTTAAGTGTTTCTTTCTTAAAAGTTCCTAATCAAAATATAACATAATATCGCCGATAGCAAAATTATGGTACAAAATGGGGTCAATAGTAGATCAGGTATGGTACATGGTACAGGCATCAAAATTATGATACAAAAACATAATTATAGGTATGTTTTCGTTGCCTGCACTTCTTACACTTTAACACCTAACCTGCACTATGGTGTTCTCGTTGCCGGATGTGACGCAATAGTGCAGCACCGAAAATTGTTATGAACGCAACCTTTCACTACACTTTAGTGCGGTTTCTACACTTGGTCTAAAGGTAGTGCAAGTCCAGTGTTGAAGTGTAACTTTGAAAACGACAGTTGGATTGTTTGAAATTAATACAAAAGGTAAATTGAAATTTCTTATTATTTTATATATTCAATAAATCCTGTTCAGTAAGTATGTAGTTAAAGTAAATATAATATAAAATTGTAGTTTTTAAAATAGGGAACTTCACAATATTTTATACATATATTTCATTATTTTGTTTTCTTAACGTTCTGATTGTTAGGTTAAATATGTATAGAATTTGTTTAATTTCAAGGATTTTCTATACAATATGTTTAAATAATATATATCAACATAGTTTACTATTGCAGACATATTTTTCATTCATATATTTAACTTTTTATAGATGCAAATATATTTACGAATAAATATCTTTTTAAAAGTCATGTGAGAGTGAATTTATAAACTTTAACGACTTTAACATTTCGTACAGGAAAAATGGAGACGTTTATTGCTACTTTGGAAACAGACGATGATGGGAAGGTTGTCATTAATGAAGAGAACCAGGTCACATGTTTGTGTGAAGGTAAATATGTCAATTTTATCGAAATTATTTATATATTTTTTTAAGACAAAGTAAATGTTTGCCTTTTCCACGAAAAAGCAAATATTTTGCATCCATGCGTCACGATGATATATAACTGTCTGTATCGCTGTTTTGTTAATTATTATAAGAGTAATTTTTTTGTTTACATGATGTGTTATAAATATAAGCGAATGTTCAATTTAGATTTTAATTTTATAGCACAATGTATCAAAGATATACCTATTTTTCATGTCGTGACGGACCAAAATTCAATTTTTCTCGTGCAAATACCCTGCTAATACAGTTCTAAATGTTTTAATAAGCAAAATCTTTTGTTACTTACTCAAGTTATAATTTTAAAGTAAAATATATTCTTTTCTATGCCAAAAAATATATTGTCAACTTGTCTTATTTCCATAGATGGAGATTTGAGATTTTTCATCTGCTTGGATGAAATAGCACCAAGAGCAAAGGAAATCCAATGCGAATTTGAAAATAAGTGGTATAAAATTAATGTGGCCCATTATGCTCAGGATTTATACCCATTAAAAAAGTGTGTAAATAATTTTAAAGAAAAACCAAAAAAATTCATTTGGACTGAGAATGCAGTAAAAATGCTTCTCAGTTTATATGGCTCATATCGGTCGAAAATTGGTAACACTTCTGCTTTGAAAACATTTGCGGCAATGTGGAAACGCATTGCCCAAGAGTTAACAGATAGTGGAGTACCGGTTACGGCTCTGCAAGCTGAAAATAAATTTAAAACAATGACCAGGGCTTACAAAGAAGTGAAATCAAATAATAAAAAGACTGGTCGAGCCAGACAAACATGTTCTTTTGAACGGTAAGATGTAGAAATACTCTTTAAATTGGTTATATCGTGGCCAATAGAAAAAAATGTGTTCAATTTAAAAGAAGCATACACAATTTAAAACCTTTTATTTTTTCTTTTTACAGAGAACTGGACGAAATGATGGGTCAAAAGCACAACATCAGACCCCTCGCCATTTTTGACAATAATGTTTTGAGGACACCGGCAACTATGAAAGTTGAAAAGGCAACGGAGGTGCAGGAAGTGGAGTGCAACTCTAATTTAGAAGCCTCTGAAACTAGTAGTCTTAAGTGAGTGTTATATTAATATTTCGGTTTGTTTTCCATAATAAAAGTATTTTAATTATAAATTATATTCACAACTTTTTAATACAGAGAGTCTACCGTGAGCGAGTCCGTAAGTGAGACCCCGAAAAAAAGAAAACGACCTTCCACATCGGAATCATTGACCGACTGTCAAATCATTTTAAAGCAAATAAAGGATAGCGCAGATGAAAGCAATGCCCAAAGACAAACTATTCAAATCGAATTATTAAATTCACAAAAGCAACTACTTGAAGAAAAAAAATTCGCGAACGAGCTTAGGAGGCAGAGAAATGAGTTGTTGTCTGATTTTATTACTGAACTAAAAAAAAGTAAACTAGAAAAGATCTATAATTAGTCAATATTAATTATTAAGTTTTGATAATTATTAGTTATATCACTTGTTTTAAGATTTGTTATAAAAGCTATATTTTTATATATAAAACTGTTTATACTCCTTTAAATGTTTAAATCGTTAAGAGTGATGATATTCTGGAGGTTCAGTTATTACTTCCTTGATTAAAGTTGTAATTGACAATGTCATAAGTATTAATTAAAGGTATGCAATTTGTGATTTAGAGTATAGAAGATTGTTATCTACTTAATTCTACTTATAAATCCATTGTTACAATCAGGTTTCGTTTAAGAAGTACAAATCTGAGAATATTTAAGTGTAAAAATTTTTCTACGTCGTTTAAAATTAAAATCGAAAATATTTTAAACATTAGTTGAAGATAGATAATACTTATAAAAATGTTTTAAATATTAGTTGAAGATAGACAACATGAAAATGTTTTAAATATTAGTTGAAGATAGACAACATGAAAATGTTTTAAACATTAGTTGAAGATAGACAACATGAAAATGTTTTAAACATTAGTTAAAGATATGTGTTAAAGAATGTGTTCACTAGCTTAGTAAATATACCAAATTATCCAAACATCTTCCAAAAAGTTTTATACATGTGGAGTATTATATAAAAGTAATTATACAAATAAGTAAAATTCATATTGTCTTTATTTATTTATGTTTTGTATAAGACTGTATTAAATAAAGCATATTTTCAATTGTCAAATAATATTTACAATTACTGATGCGTCAAATTACTAATAATTGAATTTCTATTTAGAAAATTTTTATAAAATACAGTTTATATTTAAATCAATTTCTTGATCGAAGTATTCTGTATAAAATTTTTGCTTTCATGTATGAAATGTTTATACGTCCAACAAAAGTGAAAAAATATTAATGCGCATACAGTTCAATTTCGCATAGCAAATTGACGACATAGTTCATCACGAAGAAGCTTCCCGTCGTCGCTATCATTAGCAACATTTTCATCGACATTGGCATTTGGAACTATTTGTACTTCATCATCGGGATCTTCATCATTTATAGGAGGTTCAAACAGTTGTAAATCATTAGCGTTTGCTAAATTGTGCAACACACAACAAGCAACTATAATTTCAATCAAACGAACTATGTTTTTTAACTTCATATAATACAATTGTCGAAATCTTTGTTTTAAAGAACCAAATGCATTTTCGACTACGACACGGCATGAACTTAATTTCTGATTAAATTTTACTTGAGCTCTTGTCATATGTCCTCGATCTTTGTAAGGAACTAATAGATGTTTCAAGCATGGATATGCAGTATCGCCAAGTATGTAACCATCGTCTACAATTTGAAACAATGTTCATTAATATAATTTTTCAGGTTATATGTTATATTTATAAATAATCGTATTATACTAAATATGTCAAATTAAAAATTATAGTTATAATTTTAAAATATCAAATTATATGCGCAGTAGTATACATACCACCGCAAAAGTCTTCAAGTTTGGTGCTAATTATCGATTCTCTAAAAACTCGAGCATCATGAACAGAGCCGGGATAACCAACACAAATGTCAATAATTTTTTTATTATGATCTACTACTCCCTGCATATGAATGGAGAAATATTGTTTTCGATTAATATACGAGTCTTTATCTTCTGAAGGTCTATCGATCCTAATGTGGGTTCCATCAATGGCACCTGAATAAATTTAAACACATTTATAAGTATTCTTTATAACATTTACAATATATTTAATTAAATGCTTACCGACAACACCAGGAAAACCTTTTGTTCCAAGATAAAATTGTTTTGTTACTTCTCTTTCTTGTACTGTAGGCAATCTAATAATTCTTGCAGATAGGGAAACCAAGAAACAAGTAACTCTTGTTATCAATTTGTGCAGAGCACTTATAGAAATTCCAAACCTATCAGCTACATCGCGATAGCTGGCAGTTTGGTGTCCAACAAACCACAAAAAACATAGCATGTGTTTTTCAGCTGTCATTGGCTCATATCCTGCAAAGACTATTGAAAATAATTTTAATAAGAAAAGTTGAAAAAATATAGTTTATTCATTTCAGAATTATTACACACATAATATTACCTTGTAAATCCATATAAATTTGGGATATTTCAAAACGACCGATTAGGTCGTAAGCAACTTCCCTCGACAATCGAAAATGCATAGTGAAATCTGTCTCAATATAATTTCTTACTATTGATTCGATGTAGTTTATAACTTTAATGTGCTGAATTCGTTGAATCCCATTTATATTTGCTCCTATTATTTCAACTGCATTATAATCTAAGACAAACAATGTAAACTACATAAAAAGGTTTTTATTTTTTAAATCTACTTATATTTTACAAAAATATGAGTTTTGCAACAATCTTTCATCTACTTTTACCAGAGGTATATTTACCAAATAAATAATTGATTTTTCGAAAAAACTTAAAGATAGATCGACAATTTTCAATTTAAAACAAACACTTTAATTAAAGAATATATTTTACTTCTTCCATTTTTATTAATATTTTTGAAATTATAACTTATTATCATCATCACTTTCATCATCAATATTGTCCATCAATATTGGCAAATTTTCAATTTCTTCTTCAAATGAGTCTTCATCACTATCAATAAATTCCATTATTCTTTCAAAGTTAAACATTTTTTAATCTTTAGTCTGTTATTTAAGGTTAGAAAATTAATTTCAAACTTTATGTTCGTGCGCAAACAGAATTCATTCATCCCCTCCTAATGCTTTCTACACTTTCCTGTTTTCTTTGACAACGTACACTTTCAGCGTTTTTGGACAAATTGCTTCTGGACAAGGTGCACACTTTACACTTTGTAGTGTAGCGGGTCAGGCAACGAAAACATACCTTATGGTACGGTCTGGCAACGCTGGCGCGAGTTTCATGATTCCCATGAGAGGAGAAAGCGGGTTGCATACATTTGTATCAGAATGAAAAGAGCAGAATGACTATTATGTCGACGGTGCACATCATTATACCTCGACGTCAAACATCCCGCTCAGATTTTCTCACGTGCCGGAAAAATACCAAGCCAAATGGACGCGAACCAAGGGTACTTATACCCTTATTAATGCCCTTATCTTGGCATCTATCCGACTGAGCTAATCTGTCGGCTGTAAAATCGAGTATTTGGAGGATTGGAAAAGGTTGAATTGACTCCCTGCCGATTTATGCACTTGGGAGTCTCGAACCCTGCGATTGCAGGGAGAGTAAATAAATTATATATTTGTAAATTTTATGTTCTTTTTTTATTTGTTTTTATAGGGTAATGGAAACGGATGATAAACCACACGACCTTGTAAGATCATATTACCAGAATACTGATAAGGTCAACAAATATGCGATAACAGTAGATAAAAACAACAAAAAAGTAAATAATTTCCTTAAGACACCATTAGTGTCTAAACAAATACTACTCGACATCTTAAAAAGACGTCAAACTGGAAGAACGATAAATAATGATAGTTCATCGAGGAGTTTAGTTATAATTGAAGTCCAAGATGAACAATTAACATCGACATCATTCTTTCTCGATTTCCCAGGCGATGAGCAATTCGAAATTCACTTCACATCAAAAACTGTCAGATCTATTCTGCTAGAGATGTCTCAGTATTTGACAATCCAGAGAAAGTCATCGAATATGACAGTGACACAATATGCGGCAAACCTTATTCGAAATTATCCGAACACTGTTTACTTCTGTATTAAAAATAATGTAAACAGTATAATGGTATCAGGCTGCATAAAGTAAGTATCTTTTAAATTTTCATATTAAATTATTCTTTACTTCTTCTTAAAGTTTGTACATTGGCTTACATTATTCTTTACTAGTAATATTCTACGCGCGCGATGCGCGCGTGAATATTTTAAGTTGACTCTACATTGACGTGAACGTGAACGCGAACGTGTGACGTCACAATGTTAACCTGCCTCTACAATACGAAAAAAAAGTGAGAAACGCGCGACGCAAACGCGAAACGCGAGAAAAATACATGGCAATTCTCTAGTGCCTAAACTAACTGTCCTAACGACCGCGACTACCGAACCGACTTACATATTTCTGGATTCAACTGTCTATATAAAGAGCAACTGTAAAATAGTAAACTTCAATTACCAATATTATCAATAAATCAGAATAAACTGTTCAATAATTTTTATTAATTAATTATATTTCAATTTAGTCATAATAGGTTATGTGAATTAATAAAAATTAACATTATTAATTGAATGAATAATAAATTAAGTCTTAACTTTACAATTTGGAATGTTTAATAATGTATAATACGAATACAGATTAATAATAATTATTATTATTATTATATCTGCATTTAAAATGAATTTAGTATTTAATATTAATTTAATTTAACATTATAATTTATAATAATAATGAATTATTAATGCAATATTGAAATTTTTATAAATTTTAAATTTAAATTATTAGATAATCATTATAGTAATAAATTGTTCTATTAATGAATTATAATAATTTAAATTTAACTGTATTTCAATTATAATGCAAATACTTCTCATAATAAGTACTGGTATAGTAAATTACTAATATTACTAGCAAAATCCTACGCGCGCGATGCGCGCGTGAATGATTTAAAGAAATATCACGGTAGCAATCTGTCTACGTCTGCCTTCCACAGAAAAAGTTTAATAAATTTAATTTATATTATTCCATGTTTATAATAGTTATAATTTTTAAAAAAATCTCGGTATTTGAACTAAATTATCATTTCCACGTCTCAGAAGCCACTTAAAAAAATTGCAAGGGGATCTAAGACGGGGAAAACAGTGACTTTTATTTTTTATAACGGATTTTTCATAAATCCTAAAATACAAAATAAATCATTATTGAAAAAAATCAAAATCACTGCTTACCCCGCCTTCGATCCTCTTGCAAATTTTTTTAATGACTTGTAACATTAAAATAAATAATTAGCAAACGAAAAAAATTACTTCCAAGGCGTGGAAATTATAATTTAGTTTAAATACCGAGGTTTTAAGAAAATCCGTGAAAAAAAGAAATATTACTACTTTCCTTGTCTTGGATCCTTTTGCGATTTTTTTAATGGCTTCTGTTATTAAAACAAATATAATTACCAAGTGAAAAACATGTCTCTACTCAACTCAAGTTTCAAATGTAATTTTTATATATGTAATTTTCTTATGAAATCCCTTAAACATTTTTTAAGCTCATATAAATGTAATAAAATCCAAACTCAAAAGATTTAAATTATAATTTCTTCAAATTTTTTAATTTTTATTCTTATAAGATTCTAATAATGGTTGGAGTACAGTTTTTCTAAATTATATTTTCTAAAAAAAATTTTTACTAATAAAGGTGAATTTCTAAATCACACTTCTGTTTACAAAATTATAAGTTTCTTTTTGAAAATGAAAGGAAAATAAAATGAAATAAAAATAAAGAAAATTTTCTAAAAATTTATTTATCTAATAAAGGTAATTTTCAAAATTTTCTTTTTTATAATAATATTCAATTTTTGTAATCACGATCAATAGGTACATATGATTAAAAAATAAAATTCACAGAAATTTGTTAATTCTTTTAAAAAAAATACTTGAGATTTCGTTAAAAAATTATAATAAAAAATAGTAATTCTGCGTAAATAATTAGGATAAAGTGGTAAAAAAAACGGGAATTTTGTTAAATATAGCGCACAAAAAAAAATTATTATTACAAATTTTTAATTCCCTAAATTGTCAATATTTAGGGACGTATGACTCTCCCCAGGTTTAGCTCTGTATAATTGTTGTTTCGTGGAGTTTTAGGATTTGTGATTATTTACTCAAAAGGTGGATATCTGGGGTTTGGTGCTAACATTATTGCTTAGTTTTTATTTTATGTCACTAAATACGTAATTCGTAGAATATTTTATGAATCAATGAAAGTATAAAAGTATAAAAAATTAAATCTTCCATTAAATTAAAATTATGTAAAATATTATTTCGCGTATTTAAATTTATGTTATTTGAAAAATATCCTATAAACCCATCATTATTTCAAATAAATAAAAATAATTCATAAAAATTATGAGAAATAAATATTATATTTTAACGATTGTATTTAAAAAAATTAAAATATTAAGAATTGTAATAATGTTGTCATTAAATTATAGCCACTCACCTTAAGAGTGATTGGTGTTTATAGGTTTTGGAATTCTATTAAATAGGAATTGTAATTGTAATAGGGTGGAATTTGGGGAAAGTAATGCGCCCCGAATTTTTAACCACAAAAATAAAAACAACACTTTAAAACATATCTGTCATCAATCATCAAAACATTAATTATATAGAAAAACAAAAGACGACACTTTCTGTTCACGGAATAGCAAATTATTATTATGTATGAAACAAAATTTATTATTAATTAACTATATTAAATAATTACAAGTAAATATACATATATTAAATAAATATATTATAAATATACATTAAATAAATACATTAAATAATGTTAAAAGAATGGTCCGAATGTTTTGATTTATTTACCTACTTTTGCTGTATAATTAATTCAATAATTATACCAATTTGAAAAATGAGAACTTTTGTCAAGTTAAAAGAACAATTTTTATAATAGAATAATAAATATTAAGTATTCTGAAACATATATATATATATATATATATATGGGACATTCCACGTCAACACGGACAGAGCTCTAAACAAAAATTGCTTTGATGGATTTAAACGTTCTAGGGCTTAAAAGATTTCTACGTTCATGTACTTTAAGATGCCGATGGGCGTTTTTTGCAAAATTCCATTTCCGATGCCAATAGAACTGTCAAAAGTCAAAAGGTCCAAAAATCTCAAAATACTTTTATGAATTAAAAGCAAAAAACGAGGTAAATTATTCTGTAACTCATTCTTTATCAGTTTTTAGGGTTCCCGAATATCAATCTAAAGTTTTTTTTAAAAAATCCAAAATGGCGAATTCAATATGGCGGACAAAATTCAAATTTGATCAGATTCGATTAAAACTTGTTACTCGGGGGTTTTTAGGGTCGCTGATTACGAATCTGAAGTCACTTTTTAAAAATTCAAAATGTCGGATCCAATATGGCGGAAAAAATTTTCAAATTTGATCCGATTCCCTTAAAACGTGTTACTCGGGGGCTTTTGGGGTCGCAGATTATGAATATGAAGTTACTTTGTAGAAATTCAAAATGGCGGATCAAATTTTTTAATTTGATCAGATTTAATTAAAAAGTGTTACTCGGTGGTTTTTAGCGTATCTGATTATGAATTTGAAGTCTCAAACACAAAGTAACTTCATATTCATAATCTGCGACCCCAAAAGCCCCCGAGTAACACGTTTTAAGGGAATCAGATCAAATTTGAAAATTTTTTCCGCCATATTGGATCCGACATTTTGAATTTTTAAAAAGTGACATCAGATTCGTAATCAGCGACCCTAAAAACCCCCGAGTAACAAGTTTTCAGCGAATCTGATCAAATTTGAATTTTGTCCGCCATATTGAATTCGCTATTTTGGATTTTTTAAAAAAAACTTTAGATTTATATTCGGGAACCCTAAAAACTGATAAAGAATGAGTTACAGAATAATTTACCTCGTTTTTTGCTTTTA